GGGGGGAGGAAAAAAAAAAGAGCAGAAGAAACAGGACTTCCATTTATAATCATGTGACACCTAAACTGTGTTTCAGTTTCTACTTACAGCTACACCATATAAATATGGAGACTTCACTCACCTGTAGTACACAGGTTTCTCCAACATTTTTGATTTGCAGAGCCCTAAACATTCCTAGTAATGCTGTAAGTTCTTTATACAAAATTTAGGCCTACTGATGGGAAGGTTGTCCTTGATTATCTTTCATGGATGTGCTAGGGGTATACCAAGGACCTACAGGAAACTGCAGATTGTATGATGAAAAGCACTATAAAACGAAATCTCAACTTGTCTCATGTATAATTCCTGGGAGATGTTATACACAGCTGTTACGTGTTCAAATAGCACTGAACATTAGAAAATAACAGCAAGATTTGCTTAACGTTTTTCCTTTTGTGTTGTTGTGGTTTATTTCCTTTTCTGTTTTTAGTTCATAACAAGCTAAAACACAGCAGAACCAGAGCAAACCTGGTGGTTTGCTTATCTTAAAGGCGAGAAGATCACAGCTACAGGATGACGATTCCATGTGGGACGCCCCATCAAGTCAAAGACATAGTTCTTCAGTGTGTTTATGATTAAGAGATTTTCTGAGGTTCACTTTTGGTTTTCGGCTACCTCAGAAAATAAAGGTGCTTGCAGGAAGGTAATGGGATTCTTTGGTAGGATCAGTCAGAGGCAACGCTGTTTCCCTGGAGGGTCTGAGCTGGTGTGACCAGCAAAACTGCCAGCCTCGATGCTCGGAATAACGAAAGGCCTTCCAGGAAAAGACTGGCATGCTTCAGATATACACCTGCCAAGGACTCTGCCGTCGGGCGGTGCTGCAGAAGTGGTACGTACAGGGCACGAAAGGGGTCTGAAACGGGAGAAACTGACACGAGTCTCAGCACATTCCCCGACATCCCCGGTACTAAAGCGGCGGTGCCCCAGCCGATTGCCGCGGGACGCCCCTGGGTTCTGCTAACGGTAGCGAAAACGCTTCCCCGACGGGCGCTGCGAAGCGGCGCCGCTGCGCCTCGGGAGCGAGGTACAACCTGCCCTCGCCGGGCGAAGTG